GGGGCAGCCTCAGAAATTCTGTTCAGTGAGGTCCCGAAGTCCTCTTAACCAATGTAAGCAGAGGGTAGTCCCATCCCTGGGCAGTGCCAACGTACCCAGCATTGTTCATGAAAAGAAATTGCCTGGGGGCACCTGGATGGCTCAGTCAGAGCATCTGACTCTTGGTTTCAGCTCAGGTCATGATCTCAGGGTCGTGAGATTGGGCCTGTGTCAGGCTCCGCACTCACTGGGGGAGTCTGGTTGGGATTCTCTCTCCCTCGCCCTGCTCCCCCCACCCTCATAAATAAATAATTTTTTTTAAGAAAAAATAAAAGAAATTGCCCCTCCCAACCTGGAAACTCAACCCTGTCCCCAGTTCAAACCACCACAACTGATGTGTTCTACAGACAAGTGTGCAGAAGCTGTATTTGTGAAAGAAAAGAACTTTCTTGGTGGGTTGGGAAGTAAGGATCAGGCCACCAAGCTCTGAATCTAGGAGTCTGCCTCTAATTACCAGGGCACATCATCTACCTTGTAGATTACAGATCTGAGTCAGAGACCCTCATAACCTTCCAAGACACTGCAACAAATTTATCACAACATCTTCCAATCATGTCTGAGTAGTTTCAGAAAGCTTTGGGGTTGAAATTTTCCAAAACAATTTATCAGAACATCCAGTTGAGGAAGCAAGATTCCCCTAAAGCTCCTAACTCCACAATTCATAATGAGGTCCTCTAGACCAACAGAGCTTTCCTCATACATAATCCTCTGTGTCAGGCTCAGTGCTCAAATTCCTCCAAATTTGCCCAGTAATAATGGATCTGGGCACATGCATCTGTTGTGCCCAAGATTGCAAATCCGAGAAACCACCAAGGAGCCGACACTGATGCAAGTACATGAGGGTTTATTAGCAAGCTCAAGCTTGGGTCCAAGTATACCTGACACAGCGGAGCAGAGACTTGGACCCCGAGATGGGTTACAGCTGGGTTTTTAAGGGCTGGTCTAGGGGTAAGGTGGGGTTTTTCAGTAAAGGTGGGAATCTCCAGTGAAGAGGTCTCACGAGCTCTTGCTTCCTTATTCCGATAAGGGCATGCTTTGTGTTTTTTTTTTCTGTAGCCAGGGTAGGGTAGAGTTCAGTACCTGGTCACAGTGGCCTGGCCACAGTGGCCTGGTCACAGTGGCCTGAGATGGCTACTGAAGCTACAATGGTTGTACTTATGCCAATGTTAGACTTCAATGGCCCTAATTCTCTCAGCCTCCACAGCATCTGTATCCTCACTGCTTTGGAGTAAGCTTCAGATGGTTCCCTCTGCTCTTCCTGAGCTCACCTTAGGAGAAGGTGTCTGGGGAAAGACACTTCTCCTGGAGTCTAATACCAGACCCTCCCCTCTGGTTGCTACTTCATCATGCATTTGGTCATGATGACCTGACTGTCATCCTTCCCACCCAAACGTAACCAGTGGGCAGCGGGCTTGTCCCCACCCAGCAGAGTTCCTGCTTGCCCCTGTCACTTCATACCATGGCCACATCCTGTACCACCTTCTGGCACCATATGACTCAGACTCGGGGATTCACACAGCAGCCTGGCCTCCCCCCGTCCCTGGTGCTAGGACCGACTCCCCAGGACACAGCCTCCTTCTAGGAGATCCTCACAACCAGTGAGGAAACTTCATCTGAGCTTTGCTTCTTTAAAATACTCTTTCCCTGAAAGTTGACAGCACAGGAAACAGAGTCTCCTAACTCTTGTTTTTGTTCATTATGTTTGGGTGGGAGGGGGTCCAGGAGGCTTTTCCTTCCGGACCACCTGTGTCCCAGGAGGAAGCAGGGAGCTGACTCCCTGAGGGAGCTGAGGCTCTGGGGCCAGTCCTGGTCCCCACAGGGTGATCACACCCAGCCAGGCAGGTGGAAAAGCTGAGAAGGACTGGAACACACACAATACAGAGCTGACTTGACTCATCCTCACACATAAGTCATTTTTCTGCCCAAATGTCTTCCATGGGACGGTCAGTGTTGGCTCCGTGAGGCCACTTGGCTTCCAGCCAAAGTCTCACAAGGATGCCGGGCAGCCTGTGGTGTCCTGTGGCCACCAGTACAGACTCTGTGCCCTGGGCCCATGGGTACCTCACAGGGGGTGCGGAACAAACACACTGGCACTGAGACGAGACGGGGACACAACAGTCTGCTATATGCAAAACTCATCGAAAATGGAGAGTTTAATGCAGGTCCTGTGTCCAGAGGGTGGACACTGTATAAAGTCCTCGATTTTCACATTATCAGTTGCTTTCATACTTCTGATTTATGATACTGAGTCTGTTCACTTCTTCAGTGTCTGGCAAGTCTTGAGAGTCTTATTTTGAGATATTCATGGAATTTTACTCCCTAAAAATGTATTTTTTAACAAAAGTTATATCCAAGTATGAAATTACAGTATTGTAAAAGATGTAAGTTAAACACATTTTCAGATGTGTTTCTCAACAATTTGTGTGAATTCCAAAAAAAAAAAAAATCAAAGTTCTCATTATACCATTTGTTTCTGTTTCAGAAGCCTTGCTTTGTGGAAATATGAAGAGCTTCCCCAGTCCTGGGAAACGCAGTGCCTCAGGTCTCACTCCCAACTGTTTGTGCATCAAAGTCTCAAGCGCCACACGGCAAGCGTTTGACTTCTTAACTAGAGCTTTTACAGAAAACAAACAGAATGAATATATTAAATGCAGCCGTGATGTGTTATGATTATGTTTAAACAGATTACTTGTTTCTAGCCTGCTTCTAAGTACTTATAGTTCTCAGAGTCACCACAACTACGAAGCTTTTCTATTTGTAATTAATAAAAGTTGCTGTAGAGGGAAGCCCTGACTCTGCACCTTTTTCCTTTGATTTTTAACCAGACGCTGTTTCAGTGTTTACTAATAAATAAGGTGTAAGTTGATGAAAGAGTAGTGTTTTTATTTTCATTTCTTTACCTTGTTTGAGGATGTGTGTTTTTATAGGGGACAATCTATCTGGGGCAGTCCTCAGACCTGGAAGGATGAATTTGTGATGATGCTGTTCAGTCACAGCATGTGATGCAGCCTTTCTGCCTGCTGCTGAGATGTGTGTGCTGCTGGGATAGTAGATGGCAAGAAAGGGACAATTGTCCTGATCACTCAGTTGCTCACAGGGGTCAGGTTGCCTCCTTTCTGGGAGCCTTAAGCTCGAGATTATTCACCAAAATATACTTTCTCCTTTGCAATGGGATCTGAGGTCTTAGGAGGCTTCCTGGGGCCATTGTCACTTAGCCAACCAAAGTCAATTGTATCTTCCTACTCCCAGATCCAGAGAAATTAATATTTCTTGGGGCACCTGGAGGGCTCCATTGGTTAAGCATCCAACTCAGATGCTTAATTTCAGCTCAGATCATGATCTCAGGGTCGTGAGATCGACATCTGGCCCCTGCTTCAGCAGGAGCTCAGATCCCTCTCACTCACTTGCTTTCTCTCTCACTCTCAAATAAATAAAATCATTAAAAAAAAAAATTCCTTGGTGTTCTCTGAGTCTCTCCCTTACTGTCTCCACATTTAATTCCATTCTGCTTTTACTTGCAATGTTCCCACAATCTGCATGGCCTTTGCAGTGGGAAAGCATGTGAAACCCCTGGGCTTGGCCAGGTGGTATAGGACACTGCCCTGCAGAGCCTCCATGAGAATGTTAACGTCCAGAATCCACATGAAAGACACAGCTTGCTACAGAGCAAAACGATTCCCCAAATTTGTAGGTAAGTTGGTTTTCAATGCTCCCATCACTGCGGGAATAAAAGCCAGTAGGCCCCAGTTCTATGCTCCCTCAACATGGTAGAAGTCTTCCTCCAAGACATAGAACCTCAGTGGTGCCTCATGCAAGCATGGGAGACCACAGGAACCATGCCCGCCTGCGACCTTACCCTGTGCAGACTCTACATGATTCATTCACAGCTTTGAGAGGCATCCACATGAAAGCAATCTTGTCTGATGACCATGGCATTTTTGCCCATCCCTGAACTCAGATCAGATCCTCTGCTCTGCTCAAGCTCAGCCCCAGGCAGGTGCTTCCCCTTGAGATCCATGTCTGCAACTGTATTTTAAACTCAGCCTTCTTTTCACCTCAGCCTATCACCCTAACTCTGGACTAAGTACTTTCCTGTTCAATACTAATCCTTGTTCCCCTTGTCTCTTTTATCAATACCTGACCCTTGGCCAGGATGTTCCCTGCTGTGTTTTCCCATAGGACACTCACCACTCCAGCTCTTCCCAACTTCGTGGAAATAGTGGAGGGGACATGCTTCTTCCGAGAGCTACGTCTAGACCAGAGTCATGGCTCTTCCTCTGTTGTCCTTCACTTAGAGAAGACTCTACCATTCCCACTGGCTTAGCAAAGTTAGGAATGTGTTTTAGAATGCAAGTGATCAGGATAGGAAAGCACAGTCACTTCATTACAAACAAGAATTAAATTATTAACCACAACAAAATGTGAAAAAAAAAAGGACTTCATTTGTGCAGCCAACTCTATTACCTGTAAAATATTGTGGAATCACCTGGAGATAGTAAAGTATTTAAACCATGTGTATATTAATCTGTACAGTTATTTCTTATAATGGTCTTCAATAGAAATTATCTGTGGATTATAGAGTTAACCATTTTGAATGAATATGGAAGTAAGCATAACGATCTCTTCAATTTTCCTAACAATATACTATAGTACATGTACTTTCCAGAGAAGGGACAATGCTTTCAAAGGACAACATACTCCAGGAAAACAAGGTACAATTCATTTAAAACAAATTTTATTACATATTACTAATGTAGTTAGTAGAAAGCATACACTGGAGCTATGTTTTAGAAAACTCTACAAAATTAAAGATCTCTGATTAAACCCTTAACACCTAGATGTCGTCTATAGTTAGATTTTGGCTAATATGTTTGAAACCCAGTAAAAAGAGAAACTATGTAAAATATTTTCTATAGTATCAAAAATAACTGGAACACACACTAAAATTAAAAAAAAAAAGATTACTTAAAATATGGGTTGTAGGTTCTTCTAATCTTCATGGAAACAGATTTAATCCTGACAGGTGCACTGTTTTTCGTCCACGTGCCCCATTGAATCCCAGTTGCGAGCAGTTTCCTGGGAAAGTGATGGACGCCATTCAGATTCGCTAGACCACACTGGTTGAACCACCAGCCGGTGTTGTTATTCAGGCTACTGCAGCTCTTCACTGAATGACCCCCTACAAGACATGCTGGGCGACACCCATCATTGTCAACATCTGAGGTGCTGAAAGGCATTGCATTTTGGTTTTCTTCTTTTCCAGATCCCCGGAACGCATCACCTGGGGAAAATAGGGATTTTTAAAGACTAAATTTAAAGGCGCTTTTTGTCACCTTAATTGACCTTTCCGGACTGTTGTTACAAAGCTTCACATCTAGAGCTAAGGTTTAAATTATTTTCTACTAGGTATCATGTTAAAGTCTCTCCTCCAGGGCAGCCTGGGTGGCTCAGCGGTTTAGCGCCGGCTTTAGCCCAGGGCCTGGTCCTGGAGACCCAGGAACGAGTCCCACGTCGGGCTCCCTGCATGGAGCTTGCTTCTCTCTCTGTCTATGTCTCTGCCTCTCTCTCTGTGTGTGTCTCTCATGAATTTATAAACAAAATCTTTTAAAAAAATTAAAATAAAATAAAATCTCTCCTCCAGATTGCAATATGCCAAGATCTGGAAATGAAATCCTCAGCATGATGGGCATCTCTGAGTGGACATTTGATATAAAATCACAATCCAAACAGGCGTTTGGCTTTTTATGCAGAATCAGATAATTTAAGCCAAATACGATGCTGTACAGATCTGTCATACTTTGGGGAAGGGTATACAGTACTTGGTAATTAAGAGAAAAGAATGATTTCTATAAAATAATAATAAAGAGTACAGACTAAGTTTCCATGCCCCCACCATCCTCCATCACTCAAATACAGAGGCATGGGTGAAAAGGGAGCTGCCACCACGAGCTGCTTACATTTCTAGATGCACATGTAGGGGCCACCAAATTTATATAAATACCCAGTTGCCTCAAGCATGTAATCAGCTTCATTACTGAGGTGTGGCTCTCCACCAGCACATGGAGAGTACTCACAGGAACACCGTGTTTACAAGGCCTACACAGGATAGCACGCGATGGCATCCCTGACAGTCACAAAAACCCGCAAGAGCAAATCCCAGCCAAGGCAGCCCATGTAAGTAAGTAGCCGGGCAGGACTCTGGTTTTACTAAAACTATTTAAACAGAAGATTCTGATTAGTGCCATTATGCCTAGATCTCACTCATGAGTCAACTTTGCTAATTTGGGGGCGACTGAATGAAGTGGTTCTTTGAGCATCTGACCCTCAGTTTGGGCTCAGGTCATGATCTCAGGGTCATGGGATCGAGCCCGGCCTCGGCCTATGGGCTCCGGGCTCAGGGGGGCTGCTGCTGGAGATTCTCCCTCTGCCCCTCCCCACCGACCCTTGTGCATACACACTCTCTCTCTCTCAAAACAAAAACAAAAACAAAAACACAAACAAAAACAAAAACACCTTTGCTAATCAGTTTGAAAGATTGACTTAAAGTGAAGCTATGTGAAATATCTGAAGAATCCAAAGCCCACATTTGTTTCATTGTGCTCTGAATGTTTGGCATCTCTTGAGACAGGTACTCGAGGAGCCTGGAGTACTTCACAAGTGCCAGTGGCCCATGCTATGCTCCAACTCTGCTGACTATTACAGCTTCTTACTCTGCACATCACAGAAAATGAAATGCCAACATTACAGGTGTTTGAGGGAGAATATAATTTTCAACACCCACATAGTGCTATACCTCTCAGAAGTTCAGACAAGAGACATGACACCTAAGGAGCATTGCCTAAATTATATGAGCCCTCTACAGATACTTTCCCTGGATAAAGACCAACCATCAGAAGGATCATATGTTATATGTGCTCCTCACTGGCTTACATTTAATAAACGATTTTTAGAATATAATGCATACGAGATGTCTGGCTGGCTCAGTCGGTAGAGCATGTGACTATTGGTCTCAGGTTGTAGCTTCAAGTCCCAGATTGGGTGCAGAGATTACTTACAAATAAAATCCTTAAAAATAATGATATAACATAGTATAATATAATGCATAGGTCTATTTTTAATAACTAGCCCATTAAAACTCACTGCCATGTTTCCTATGAGTGTACTGAGAGAACATAACACTTGGTTTTCTCTGAGAAACCAAACAAAGCTTTCTCAAGTTTTAGAATCAGGAATATTTGTCCCCCTGGAACAACTGTGTTGCTCAAATGTTTGAATTTCATATTTCTATTTTGCTCTGAGGTCAAAATCAGATTTGCAGCTCACCTCTACCATATACCTGATCATTCTTAACCTCGTAGTTTTATCAATTTCTATCTCTATGTTCTATTGACACCTTTTCTTTGTATTGATTGTGTTATGTGGCCATCTGTTGAAAATTACTTAACCTTATTGGGAAAATGCAGAATATTTTCTGAGGGCAAAGTCTGAGGGCTCCGTGATGAAAACATTTGTGCCATTGTAAATCCTATCCTCTAACTAGATCCTAGTCTAATAGAGAAACTCACACAAACTTTCCATATTTAGGTAGTTCTTTACAGATGCAGCATTAAAAATTTCATCATGATTTGAATTTCAGACTTTCCCCTAAAATCCCAAGGCTAACCCCCTCAGATGTCAGGGACTCCACCCAAACTGGGCAACTCTTTGTGCTCATTTTCCTCCCGCTGTGCTGGGACTCAAGCCGCTGTCTTTGCCAACATTAATCTGCCAAAAGCCTATCCCTTCCTCCAAGTACAGATGAGTGGTTCTCAACTATAAGGATGCCAACATATCCATCTTTGAATACAAATACCTGGGCCCAGACGTACTGAATCGGGTTCTGCAGGAGCATATACTTTCAAAAAACTTTCCCACGTTGAATCTAACATTAACTCCTTGTTAGAAACTACCCTTCCAGGAAGATTTTCTGGATGCAATCAACTGGGATCATTCTCCCCCTCTCAAACCCCCAAAGCTCTATCAGTATTCAGTATTCCACATTTTCGGTTTTCTTTATCCCCCTCTATATTGTAATTAGTTAAAGAACTGGGAACACATCTCCCTCATTTTTTTATTTCTAACACTAAATATACACAATAAAGCACCATGATGAGCAACAGTAGGAGAGCTGAATTTGGTATCATCTCAAATTTAAAATTTCAGCATCAAATTATAAAGTTAATATGAAGTGTTCTGAAGTTCTTAAAAATTAAATTTATTTGGAAATGAGTGCACTAAGGCATAGTGGGAAAAAACAACCCCAAACTAGTTGTTCTATCAACCTGGCTTCTTGCCCTGGGTCAAGTGTGATGACCTGGGACTCACGGGCAAGTCACTTAATTTTTCAGGCTCCTTTACCTGGAAAGTGAGAAGAGTGGAGATCAGCTCAAACACTCTGATTTCTAAATGCAACCTCTCAGAACATGAAAATGTCAACAATTCCTTCCCAGCTTTCTCTACAGACTCTACTCTGCAGAGTTAATTGTAATTAACCCATAAAATAGTTTTAAAGAATATAAGTTCTTCAAAATCATAAAGTGGTTCAATGATCATAGCAGCTTCAAAACTCAGTTTTCTCTCTTCTAATCTATGTTATCAGTTATGTATACTAGACCAAGAGAAATGCATTACTTTATCTTCTCCTAATACTGAGTCAGCTATATTTAAATATCCTGCATAATTTGAGGAAGAAAAAACTTACCAGCATTTCCTGAATACCGTCCTAAGTGTATCTTAAAAAATCTTGTTTCATCTTCTAGCCAAAAGTTATCATATGATGCATAAGCAAATGTGTCATCTTCAGATTCCAATGCAATATACAGCATAAAACTGGTATTTTTCTGATTTACTATGTAAAAAATCTTTTTTAGTCCTAGCCAAAATTCGCCTGTTAAAAAAAAAGTTTTTTAATATATTTTAATACAACTAAGTAAAATTTCAAGATTTACCTTAAGATATGTCAACAAAAAAGCTGTTGAAATATTATGGCAGGTAACAAAATGATGTGTACTTATAAATGTTAAGAATTTTAACCTCCAGATCACCAGCTCCTAAAGAAAGATTTCTCTGAAAAGGCTCAGTTGAAATTACTTTTTCTTTCAGAATGATGCTCTGTGAATAAACATTTCTTCATTATAATGCAGTGTGTCAGTTACTTATGAATGGAAGTGTGATGGAATGAAATGGATGAAAATGAATTCCAGGATGAATTGGGGAACTCAGTGTTCTGGCTGCTGACCCTTTGCATGTTCCAGCTGATGGCTTTGTACCTTCCCCTGCCCACCCTGGTACAGCCTCTGCCCTAAAACACATTCCTCCAGCTGTATCATAATATTACAGAAGGAAGTACAGGGTATTGTGGAAACAAACCTCAAAGAGTTTGGGGGAGAGTGTGCCAACACTCACATCGGTCAACCTCTAGCTAAGATCCCATGTCCCCCCCAGGGATGGTCACCCCAACTGCACACCCCCTTAGAAGTGAAAAGAACGGGGTACAAGAGCTAAGGTGGGTGCAGCCCACGACCCTCCATTTTAAGTATCTTTGCCATCTTGCCCCTCTACCCAAGCCCTAATAAAGTAACAATATATTTTCCTTAATTCCAAGTTTATTTTAAAAAATACACTAAGTATAGTCTGTACTTGAACATGAAGTATGCCTGCCTGAGGACCTTTGTCTCAAAACTCAGATAATTAAAAAAAAAGAAAAACTCGGATAATTTCCCCATTGAAATAAGCATAAAGTAAGGAAGATGGCAATTCAGTCTGTAGATCTGTGACCACCGAAATCAGGAGGTAGCACTTGGCAGAAAATTAGAGATAATGCTGAGAACACACAATACATGAGTTCATGCACTCCATGACCCGGTAGTAATCTAGCCGTGTTCATCAGACCTCATTACATTTCACATCCTTTCTAAATTCATTAGCATGCAGCAGGGATTATAGCAACAGAACTAACACCACCATTTACTAAATCCTTGGATGATGTTATTATGGGATGTTAAGGCTTTTGAATTAAAACAACAGTAACCTAAAATAACAGCACAAAAATGATGAAAATGTAAAACTTCCAACAAAGTTACAATTCTGCAGTGTTCAGAAATACCAGCATTTCTATTTGCCAGCAAAAGTAATACTGTCATGGATTTTAGAATTCTTTTGGGGTTTACAGTTTTCAAATTTTGAGCATAGTGATTTTTATTCATATTTTAATAAAATACTACTCCCAGGTCATGTAACTTGAGTTTGTCCTTCCACACACCTCAGTTCTGCATGCTCATAGACACAGCACACACGCCAAGTATTTCAAGGTTTGTGACAACCCTGCCCACCACACAACGTTTCATTCCACAAATAGTTCTAGAGCATCTTCCAGAATTCTGCTGGGTACACAGTAAATACTTAATAAAGACCCTCAGAACTTTCACTCAACCCCATTTCAACAGGTATCTGGGTTTCCAGATCCCAACGAAAGACCCATTCATTCTAAAGTAATATGACGTGAAGAGAGAGTAATTTGAGAGAGGAAAGATTGCTGTTTTTGCTAATGATGTGACTAACAGAGAAACGGTCTATAGGGGTCATCCCAAAAAGAAGAAAAAGAGGAGAAATAAGATTTGACCTAAAAGGTCACCAAATCCGTCCAGATAATCACACCACGGCCTTTGGAAATCAATGATCCCGTCAACTCTTTTCTGTATCATGGTCCATCCACCTCCTCGGTAATCCATGTCACACATTACCTAAAACAGATCCAGAAAACACAAAAATTATATACTATCATTTTTATTCATTGACATAAAGCTCATGCTTCACCCTTAAGCCTAAAGAAAGAGAAAACCATTCCACCAAAAGTTTCAATGCAATTGTATGCTATTAATATATTCAAATGTAAATCCCTAGACATAATGCTGTTTGTTATAAGACAAACTTGTCATTAACCTAATTACTGTCCCTGGTGTCAGCCATGTGTTTGCATATGTAAGTTGGTTGCATTTCAAGCATCATGAGGTCATCCCCTTGTTCCTCAACTCAACTGATATTTTTCAGTTGGGTGGTAATGCTACCAATCTGATGTAGCAAAATGAGGTATTCGCAAATTAACTTTTCCTTTGAATTAAAACACTGATTTTTAAGTGTTAATTAAATATGCCCGTGTGCCTGCCTTTGATTACTTTCCTCCAGACACCTGAAAGGCCTGTGTTCAGACTGGGGTCAGCAGACAGAAAGGTCTGCTCTATGCCCACCTCAGCAGGTATTCCTGGAAGCCCCTGTTGGCACCTGCTCAATACCCCTGCGAGGACTACTGAGGGACCCAACCCAGAGGACAAAATGCAAGCAATCATCCCCATCAGAAACTGCCTGCCCACGGAGAAAGGCAGTGTGGAGGAAGGTAGGGAATCAACACCTTCCCACGACCTCAAAAGGTAATTTCACAACACATTCTTGAAAAATTAGAAGCCTTCCCTCTCCACATACGTTCAGGGTTTTTTTGAATCTGTAAGTGAAGCAAGTTAGGTAATTTTAAAATTATTTCCCACCTAAATCCCAATTTTTTGACACCTTGTTAATAGATGTCAAAAATAATGTTAGTAAAAAAGCCATATAATTTAGTGATTTCAAGATGAGAAACTGGCATATCTACTCAGTAGAAAAATTATTTTATTGTGTAATGAAGATTACCAATAAGGCGTGATACTGACATCATGAACTTTCTTATACACAAAGAGTAAACAAACAATATTATATATAAGTAATGTATATGTTATTGTATATGTAATATTACTAGGCTAAATAATCTTGTCAATAACAGAAAATTTCTGATAGAAATTTCTTCCAGAAATCATAGCATAGGACTACTAAAGATAGACATGAGGATAGTTTATTTTATTCAATTTAAAAATGATTTTAATTTTAAAAAGATTTTCTCAATCTGCCTCATACTTTAGTGAAAGGTTTTTATTATTAATTTATTATATAATCACATAAAATCATTTGTCACCTTCAGAGGAAGAGAAATTGGAGACTTTTTAGCAAGCACCAAGGCAGAGCACCCTACTACTTTCTAATATCCACAAGCTAACGAAAGCAGGCATTTATATGCATATTTCTGCTTACTGTAAAGATAAGATCTTACACCATATGGATTTACTTCAGAGTTTAAACATGAAATCTCAAATGGAAAAGTGAAAGAGTCTCAAGTTCCTACAGGTTTGTGATTTGGGCAAAGAATTTCAGAAAACCGAAATTTTGAAACTGGAACTTCTACCAGTTTATCTTAAAATTTTCAGAAAAATTAAAACAATTAAAATTTAATATTAATTAAATAGACTGCTTATCCTGTTTCATATAATAAGGAAAAACTTTACCTCAAATGGGTAACTGGATCCTTCCGGGTAGATTATATATAAGCCACTTGGTGTTTTGGTGACAGAACCAAGGGTATCTTTAATATCACTGCAATCTAAACCTAGAAAAGTAAAATTTGTTATTTAGGATATTTTCAAGTGTATGTTAAGACTTAATCATTTTACTGTAGAGATCTGATAGCACTATTTGAAATTATGAGTATAATTTCCATTAACAATATGATAACTTTAACTTCTTAGAAATGAAGAATGATTTCAATTTTAGAAAACAGAGAAAATACACAAAAGAAATGGGATTAAGGAATTCATGTCGCAATCAACCTTCATCAATAATAACACTGTTCTAACAGTGAGAGAGAGATTAGTACTCCATACTGCTTAAATGTTCCATTTGGGATCCATTTATTTAATTTATTTCATAGTGATGCATTCTCTAGTCCAATAAATAATGCTTTTTCAGGAATCTAGGCTTGGTTGGGGGTGCATAATGTGTAAAGTAAATATGTATGAATGGGAAGGATAAACCAGATGAATAAGTAGATTAGCTGTAAGTGACACATCCTTGACTATTGGAAACTTCAGAGACTCTAGTTGGGAACCAGTATAACAAGAGCCAAAGGGAGAGTACAGGAAATCACTTTCTTCAGCAAGAAGAAATTATGCTTGAGGCCAGAGTCTGCTCTGAGCCAATAGTTAGAACTGTAGCGCCTGCAATCACCCTCTCCAAAGCGTCCCGCTTCCCAGGGGATTATAAACATGGTGTGGATATGGATATTACATTGGATTCTAAGATACTTTACCTTGTATTATGTTTATAAATGTAATAGAATGCAACCTTTATGTGGTTTGTTACCCAATTTTAGTATATGTGCTGCCGAAGCGAGCACACGTGATTTATTACCCAGAGAAACAAACACATGAAAGCCTGAGACTCCAGAGCCAGAAGCCTGGGTTAGAGTCCCAGTCCTCTAAGGAGCAGCTGAGAATCCTTGGCTAGGTTTTCCGCTTCTATCCTTATAGTAATACTGCCTAATTTGTAGTGTCATTCTGGCAACTTTACATGGTAAGATATTTTGTAAAGCACTTAGCACAGTGCCTGGCACACAGTACATATCTAGAAAATGTTGTCTACAAAAAATTAGCTGTAAAAGATTGTTTCCTTTCCCCTTTATTTCCAGAAGATATAGATTTATTGCCTTTGTTCTGAAAGGCTAAGAGACATTCTTTTATAACTTTATGCTCAGAGATATGATAGAAGTCCACAAGAGAGGACTGTTCTGGGTTGGAATACACTCTTCGCCATCACCATCCAAATAAATGTGAACACATTATTTAGCTTTTCCTGGGCTGCCTATTCCTCCTCTGATGATGATCATTCTCACAGCAAACCCTCCTATCATCTGTGCATCAGGCAATATTTGAGGAGATTTTCATGTACTTAGTCATGTAATCCTTGCAACAACTGCATCAGGTCAGTACTACCAGTTTGCAATGAGGAAACTGCATGAGTTATGGGGAGGCAAGTGGTCTGGCCTCAGAGATACATGAGGTACAATAAAATAATTCAAAATAAAATAACATATGGAGGTGCCCATCTTACACCTGACACTTAGGAGATTCTCAGTAATTGTTTCTTTCCTTCCCTTTGTAAGGAAGAAAGATCACACCCTAGGCTTTCAATAACATTTTTTTACTTGGAACTCTGGCATTAATTCATATTTGAAAGATCAATACAATATTTTTCTTAGAAATGCAGGCCTCTTGGAATTACTACACTGTATATTATTACAAAAAGCTCTAGATTCCACTTTATTTCTGTCTTAAGTTTCTTTTTCTTTTCAAATTTTATGTCCCAATTTGAAATATTTGGAACATATCAAAAATACTTTTTACAGGTGAAAAGAACTCTGAAATTTTCTTTTCTTCTAACTGAAGATTAATTGTGGATAAAATGTAAAGAACAGTCCAGAAACAACTTCCATAAAACTGTGCCATTTGCAACAGATTCAGGATGTGTGTGCAGCTGTGGCTTTTAGACACTGGAAAACTTTCCCAGCTTTGGAAAGAACATCTGTCTGGGTTGAAGTCTGCCTACCAGCAAGTAGTGCCCCTCTAGGCTGTTAGATAATAGCGAGCTGTATTTTACAAACAAAACCTCTAAATGCACCAACCCATCCAGGAAAATTTGTTTGTTTGTTTGTTTGTTTTTCCATCCAGGAAAATTTGAAGACAAGTATGAAAAGTCTGAAATAGCAAATTTCTCACCATGAGACTGAACTGGCCTGTGAGGCAAAGGCTCCAGCTGCTTTCTGAAAACTTCTGTGGTCAGAAGGAGGACCCGGTTCATAAGCTCATTAACCTGAACACACAGACACCACCTTTAAAGCATTTTATATCTGAACAAAACTCCCTCCACTGAATTCTACAGCTGGCATCCACAAGCCTCCTACAAACTCCGCTCTGCAATATATGGCAATACCCACTGCCCCACACTACATCCTGGGCCCCTGCTGCAAGGCCACCCAGGCACTCCACAGGTAGGGTCACTGCAGGTGGCTCGCCAACCTGGTCCAGCTCTCACGCTGCAGGGCTCCAGGGTGGGGCGCCACTGAGGGCCTACTTCTTTAAGTCAGCTGTCCCTGTAGGGACACCTGAGTGGCTCAGTGGTTGAGCATGTACCTTCGACTCAGGGTGTCATCTCAGGATCCTGGAATCAAGTCCCTGCGGGGAGCCTGCTTCTCCCTCTGCCTGTGTCTCTGCCTCTCTCTGTGTGTCTCTCATGAATAAATAAATAAAATCTTTAAAAAGAAGAGTCACTTGTCCCTGTAAATCTGCCATCACACCTGCCACAACACCTGCCACCACACTGCACCCTCTCCAAGTGACTTTGTATTTGCCTAAGGATTGCTATGATGCCTCTAATAGAGTAAGCAACACATGTCTGGATGTGAACCCATTAAAAAATCATATAGTTGTGCCTCTAATACTATTGATATACATGTACAAAACAACACAATATAAAAGATCCATACCTGATTGGATAAATAATCCAAGGACGTTTGTTGCTCATCCATCATATTTCTTAGCAGCTTTTTGGTACTTCGTGTGTAGGAAACAATAGAATTTTGCAAATTTCCTTAAATTATAATAAAAAAGTGTTTGCTAAATATTACATTGTTAGAGAAAATAATTAGAGTGAAAAATAATTGTACATGATTTTGGGTTAATATGTAGACACAATAATATCTCAATCTATCTAAATATTCCTAAGTATAATTTTTAACACGGGACTAACAAAGGGAACAACTGTTTCAATGATCTTAATGAAACTGTGATTTCTAATAGTTTAGATTATCCCCAAATAATTTAATCTGATGTAACAGAGAGACAACATTCTGAATATTAATTCTCACTTTGTAAGATAAGAGATACAAAAGCAGGAGGTCCAAGGGTCCTCAATTTTTACCATATAAGAACGGATAAGGCAATAATCCATATCATGCAAGGTAATTTTAAAAATAAATCTCTTTTAATTTGTTCTATTAGTGCTATGTATTTTTTCTTTTTTAATGCTATGTATTTTTATATAAACAAATGCCAAACACACATATACACAAACAATAAGTCTTAGTCACAGTTTTTTTTTTATTTAGTCACAATTTTGGTTGGTTGGTTTCTGATTGAACTTTTCTATATATTTTCATTTTTAAAATGTTTTTCTTATTTTAAAAGCAATCTTATTCATAGAAGAGTTGCCAGAAGAGTACAAATAACTTCTCCTAAATCATTTCAGAGCATGCTGCCATGATGTCCCTGGATGGTTCAGTCTGTATTTCTTATACCAAAGACATTCTATACAGTACAACCCTGAAAATCAGGAGATAATCGTGGACTATCATATATTTCTCAGACTAAATATAGTGATGATCCTTTATTACAAAAGCATCTTCACAGTATCACATGCATTATTCTTTAAAAGATTATTTCTATATTCCTAATTTTCACTCTCACAGCAGAATCACATTCATAATCTTTGAGATCTATCCCCACTCCCAGCTTCATTCCACTTTTACTCTGGGGCTCTCAATGTCTGTTAGATTCCTCCTGGACTTAGGTATCTGTCTAAGGGACCCACGAGGCACTTGCCAACCTGAGGGCCCAGAGATGCTTATGTTGCACATCCTGGCCTACTGTTTCCATCCGTAGGAGCTGAATCAGGTCATCACCCCCTTCCTTTCCATTCCCCTTCTTCATCCCACCCCCACCACCCGTGTGCATGTCATAGACCATAAAAATCCCTGCACTGTTACTAAAGAGCTGTAAACAAAAACCAAGACTTTGAAAGTTTGTTTTTATGCTTTGCTACATAAATTGGCTGACTTGGTAATATACCTATTGTACAGCTATTCAGTATTAATGAATTCCCTACTCAAAACTAAGGAGCCATTTTCTGTGGCTCAGATGGAAGCCCGAAAGTAGCCTTTGATGGGTTGATAAAGCACAATTGTCAGTGCCCTCTGGCTTGCCCCTGCCCTCGGTGGTCAGCTGATGCCACAGGGTGACATACAAGGATTCATTCGTTTATTCATCAAATACTTACTAAGCACCTACTACGTGCTAAAAACAGGCAGCATCTGGCCTAGGATGATCAAGGTACATATAAAATGACCCAAACAAAGGTAAGGTATATTTCCTTGTATGCATAACCTAGAAATAATAAATCATATACCCTTATAATTGCAGTCATTTTTAATACTTACTACACATGAAATGTTTTTCTTCTCGTGTAATTTTAATTTTAACATCACATGACTCCTCACAGTCTTCCTTATAAACAGTATCATTACTTTTACTCTCATCTTTTGCATTAGATATGTCTTCTACAGTATTAACTACTGGAGAATCCTTTACATTGAAAAATAGAAATAAGAAAGGAATACATGAAGTATGTTATATGACCTAATACATAATAAGAAGATACACAGAAAAGGTGAAATTTCAGGACACATACAAGGGTAATCATTAGAAAAAAACAATGAGCCATTCAGTTAAACTTCTACAAATAAACCTTACAGGTAAATTTTAGGTATGAACAAAAAGCATATGTTCATTCAGTATTTTTGCTCTGCCTTTTTGGTTTCCAATTCCAAAAGGATCTAGTTAGGCTCTACTTTCTGTAACATGGCTCCATGGCCTTGACCTTTAACTGTGGCATGTTTCCATGTTGGACACATGCTATCCCTCATCCAGGCATCCGGCAGTCTGAAGTTCCATGAACATGGCTAAGAAGGTTCCCTGAGATGCCTACTCTGTGCCAAATGGATTTTCTGCCACCAGCTATTAGGATTTGGGGGAGGAAAAGGGATTGTGGAAGGCTTGTCGCTTTGGCATAAGTAAAGGTATTTACAGATTTGAAGGGTAAAGTACTCATTGGTGATAACAGTAAAAAAGCATGGAATTTTGCTTTGCAAAATCAATAACAGATGTCATCATGAAGAGCCAACTACAGCTACCATTCCAAAGCTATTTATTTCTGTTGGTAACTATTGGCTTTCCAATATTAAAACAGTGTTTGGTAGAAGTTACCTACTTTAAATGACTGTTAATTAAAAGAAAATAGAAACAAATTTTACCTTCCTTTGACCTAGGTATTGAGAGAAAGGTAAAGAGCTAATCATATGATAAAAGGTATTTGCTCAATAAGATGCTGGCATTTTGTTACATAGACCTATTTGTAACTCCTTGCTCTTTCCTCTCAACTCCTGTAATAATTGGCATAATAAATGTTTTCAAAAACCTATGTGACAACTATGTTTTTTTCAGATCTAAAGATTTTTAAAGTTTTAGTATTTTAGAGAATTATATTATTAATATTTCTGTAGCTTTCCTAAAATTTATTCTTCCTTTAACCTTGGAACTTTGGAATCTAGTATAGATACCATGGTAAATATGTTGTATAACATTTAAAATGATAAACCAATATTTAAAATATGTACAGATCCAATCCCCATCTACTCAGAGTATTGCATACACTTTATTAGGTGTCACTCTGACATTGTAATAAATAAAATTTTCTAATTTCCTAGATAACCACTCACAAGACTGTATTTTAAATATAAACTTATAGAATATTTATTTTTTAAATAGCAAAGCAAATATTTTATTACCTATCAGATATTTCATTATCAAAGTTAATGGAAAGTTGCTGGCTACTTTTTAACCTAGGCCTGTAATTTCTTTAAAATTTTTTTTCATAAGAAATGTGTTAAGGGTGAATCCTCAGTTTACGGTTTCCTAAGTTTAAAAATAATATAAATTAAAAAAATAATACTATAAATTAAGCAGAGTCTCAGCATTTCTAAATAAACACTCTAATTTTCCATAATTGTATTGTATAGCACAATTAATCTTTTCAAACTTTTAATATATATCTTCCTGGAGATATATAATCATACTTTTAGCTAAAATAATATTGCTAAAATTCTTACCGTAGAATGATGTACACAATTACCTTGTATAACTTCTCCACAAATTAAAATAAGTGTATTTAAGAATAAAAGCGAAGCTTGAGAAAGATACATCATATTCTTCCTGGAGAAATGAAACACTTCTTCAAATACCAGTAAGCTCTGTGTGGAAAGAAGTGCGGGCAGAGTCTTCAGTTAAAAGCTCCTGGAAGGTGTACAACAAAAACAGAAGCCAATACTGACTGGTTTCTGTGCTCCTTTGAAACAACACCTTTCATATGAAAAACAAGGTAGCCTGTCATTTTTAAGTTACACAAACTTTTTAAAATCACTACATGCCTGCTTTTAGAATATAGGCAGTAACTAGATACATAAGTAAATAAAGCATGAATTTATAAGCCCACCTAATGATTATGAGTTGGATTTGGGGGGGCCTTGGGAAAAACACCTTTGATAAAATATCCCTCAGTAATTGGAAACCAGTTTGCATAAAAATAGTAAAGAAGGAGATATGAATGATGAAACAAAGAATGTTATATTGAAACTGTTTTTACAAAACACTAAGCAGAAATGTAGTCAACGTGGACGTCAGGGCAGCTAATTCGGATGTAAAGTAAGCTTCCTCCGAATTTAGCTATCGGTGATGGTTGTATTAATCACATAAATGCCAAATTCCTAGCACTCTGTATGTTTTACATATGTATTACTAAAACTTCAAACATTCTGACTGTAAGGGAACCATCACTATTGAAAAATACCACCACTGAGAGCTGACTGAGCAGTCTGTAATAGTCTCCAAATACTCCCAAACACGATTCCTTCTCTTCATTATATAAACATGCCTAAATAGTCACCATGCTACAATTAAATAAAATGAAAGGATCCAAGACTTTCCTGAGTCTTTCTTCCCATTCAAGAGCTAGGGGGCAGGGACCACACCACAGTGTTTCTGGGGCCCGTGATGCTGACTGGGGCACTCCAATACTAATGAAATAATGTCTTTAAACAATTATGTACCCTCTGACTGTACCCTCATACCCACTGTCTAAACCCAGGCACTCTTCTCTCTGCCTCTCAGAGCCTCTTTGGGGGCAACAGGAGATGGTGGGGGTGCTGGCTCTGCAATCCAACCACCTGGTTTGAATCTTGGTTCCCCAACACCTTTGCTCTGGGTCCTCTGGCAAAGTTATATAATCTTACCATAGCTTAACTACTTCCTTTGTGGAGGAGGATTATGCTGAGGATTCAGTGATTTTACATACATAAGCACTTAGCACAGCGCCTAGGATAAATTAGGCACTCCAGTGTAAGGGGTTAGTATTTTCTATGATTTGGCTTGATCTATAATGCAGCTCTAACATTGCTGACAATATCGGTGACCTTAATCATCTGTATTAGGAGCAGATGAGCACTTATCTTTAATCTTAAATTTCTAGTTGAAGTCTTATGAAATTGTAATGATTATGACAGAATTTCAGTCATTTTAAATCAGCCAGATGTTAAAATTCTTTGTTCACAGCTTTCCCAGAGACAAATCCAGGAAATTCTTACTGGAGCAAGAAAATACTTTTGCAGAAGATGGAAAAAAAAAAAAAAAAAAAGCCTCCACCAAGATGAAAGTGAAAGCTCAGGAAATTGTCCACACCACAGGCTGCTTTGCATAACTCACAAAGTTATTATACTATTCAGATTAAATAAATTATGTGAACATGCTTTGTAACCATAAAGGGGCTATTATTAGCTTCTTACATAAACATTGTTAGCAATTTATGATGTGTGTTCATGAAGTTGGGTGTCTCCTAGGCTTGCCTATCCAGCTCATGTCTGAAACCCAAATCTTACTCTTTGTGCCTTCAGCCTGTCCCTCCCCATTTTAGGAAACAGCAACGCCCTTCATCTGCTTGGTCCAGCCCCAAATCACAGAGTTATATTTGGCTCTTTTTTTTCCCTCACTTGGAACACAACCATTTCACCCACTTGCCACAACCATTCATCAACACCTTTCACTGGTTCAAGGTTTAAAATTCTGAACACTTCTAGGGCGTTTCCAGGGTGCCTGACTCAATCACTTGAATGACTGGCTTCAGCTCATGTTGTGTTCTCAGGGTCCTGATATCAAGTCCTGAAATGGGGCTCCTTGCTCAGTAAGGAGTCTGCTTTCCCCTCTCCCTCTGCTACTCCCCTCATTTGTGCTCTCTTTCTGTCTCTTACTCTCTCAAATTAAAAAAAAAAAAAATCTTCTGAATAGCCCCAGGGAAACAGATCTGTGATGACAGCAATGGGAATAGAATCAAAGTCAACGCCATGGCTAGGCCAGTTTAAAACTTGCCGAGATAGCTAATGGTCTATGGATACACCTTTGGCCTTTCCCTGCTAAAAGTTATATATTCTATTGTCTTGGCTTTGTCCTGAAGGAAGCTCATGTGTTTTGTGTGTTAAATCAAAACTGGATTTGTTGTAGCATTTTAAAATCTCAGTCACCAGATTACATTTCAATTTGAGTAACTGCATCCAACTTTGCAAAAACCGTTTTAAGTAGTTTCAACTGGAAAAGTTTATTTGAAGTCTAGAAATGAACATACTTGATTCACAAAGGCAGAGCCATTTCAATGGTGGGTGGATGATTTTTATTTGGTTTGTACATTTTGCTTCCAATCTGAGAGTTCTTCCATTAAAAAACAAATAACAAACAAACCCTGGCTAACACAGTCGGAATTTATATGTTCTTTCATACTGAGTTCCAACAAACAGTTTCAGCCTCTTTTCTTGTTTTTTTTTCTTTTTCTTAAATAATAAATTTATTTTTTATTGGTGTTCAATTTGCCAACATACAGAATAACACCCAGTGCTCATCCCGTCAAGTGCCCACCTTAGTGCCCGCCACCCAGTCACCCCCACCCCCCGCCCACCTCCCCTTCCACCACCGCTAGTTCGTTTCCCAGAGTTAGGAGTCTCTCATGTTCCGTCTCCCTTTCTGATATTTCCCACTTATTTTTCCTCCTTTCCCCTTTATTCCCTTTCACTATTATTTATATTCCCCAAATGAATGAGGCCATATAACGTTTGCCCTTCTCCGATTGACTTATTTCACTCAGCATAATACCCTCCAGTTCCATCCACGTCGAAGCAAATGGTGGGTATTTGTCGTTTCTAATGGCTGAGGAATATTCCATTGTATACATAAACCACATCTTCTTTATCCATTCATCTTTCGATGGACACCGAGGCTCCTTCCACAGTTTGGCTATTGTGGACATTGCTGCTAGAAACATCGGGGTGCAGGTGTCCCGGCGTTTCATTGCATTTCAGCCTCTTTTCTATATTTTCAGTTGCAAGACCATTGCACTAGCGGCCCAGAGATCCACTCCGCCCAGCACACCTCCCGGGAGGTCTCCACCTTAGATCTGGACTTCGTCCAGAAAGGGACGCGAGACGGTGTGCGTGCAGACCCGGCAGCCACAGGGCAGGGAGGACCCCGCAGAGCATCCCGCGCGGGGAAGATGCAGGGGACCCAGACCCGCCCCAGGAAGCTAGATGGACTTCCAGCTCCAGACCCACGAGCTCCAGGGCTCCATCGACCATCCAGACGACCCCCGCGGCCATCCCCCCACTCCATCCCACCGGTCCTCCCACCGCTCCGCACCCCCACCACTACAGCGTCCGCGTAAAGAAGACTCAGCCCCGCGCTGACACAGGACAAGCCCGCGCCTGCGCAGACTCCGTCGCGGGAGCCCGGGTCCCGCCCACGCTACCCATTGGCTGTCCGGCGCGTAGCCCCGCCTCGCCCGGCGCCCTGGTTTCTGTCGCCAAGGACGCGGCGTCCGTTGGTTGCCAAGATGGCGGCGGTGTCTGCGGGACCGCGGCTGCCCTCTCCGCCACTGCAGGGCAAGGTCGACGCCGCAGCCGTCACAGCCAGCGTCGCTGCCGCTCGGGAACCAGGGCTGCCGCGGCCAAGCCTTCCGCGCCCGTGACACGAAGCCCGAGAGACGGAGTGGACGGAGGCCCGAGGACGAGGCCGGGGCTGCCATGACCGAGGCGCCAGCGGCGGGCCGAGAGGCGGCGCCGAGCTGAAAGATGCTGGCTTGGAGGCCGGGCGCCCGGAGCTCGGCCGTGGAACGGGGACGGGGCCCCGAGACGTCGGACGCCGGCGACGGAGCGCTCCTCATCCCCCGCTTGGGCCGCGGGCGCCGCCGGCCTGCCGCCGACCTGTATCCTTCCGGGGATGCTGGCGGGGTAGGCGGTGTGGGCGACGGGCCCCGGGCCCCTGGCCCCTGGGCGCCGGCGGACGGCGGGCTGGCCGGGCGGTGGGCTCCCCCCCTGTGCCCAAACCACCCCCGCGGTCCGGGTGGGTGTCCGTGAGCGCCCGACTCTCCCCCGGGGCACCCCTCCCCGCCTTTCGCCCCCACCCCCCGACACCGTTCGGGTCCTTGTGCGCCCGTTTCCCCCGTCGGTGCTCCCCCCGCCCTCCCCCGGGGTCCTCCCCTGGGCTCCCCACTCTTTTCCCTGCTTCCCCCGCCCCGGGCCTCGCTGTTCCAGATGCTCTGGAACGTGGAACTACCGACCTCGTGCGGTGCGGGGGCTGCTCTGTTGCTCAGACAGCGTGGCCATGTTCTGTGCACTGCCTGGTTAATCGTGCTGCCCAGAGGGAAGAATCCCACAAGTGACACCTCTTTGCGACCTTGGAGAATCGGGTTAGCAGGTTAAGCTAGCACACCCCCGGTTCACTCTCTGGTCCGGTGGTCAGGGGGACAGCCTTCCTCAGAATTCAGGACGGAGTTCTGTTTTCGGAATGGAAGGCGCTCCTACCCTTTCCGAGGACGATGGGGCGGTGACAGGTGGCATCGGTGCTGGCGGACGACGGGACTGGTGGTGACGGGCTTGGACTCCGAGCTCACGGCCCCTCAGAGTGCTGCCGCACATCCCCACCCGCGCGCTTGGACACCTGTCCTGAGATGCTGCGGTGGATCAGCAAGTAGGCAAAGGCTGTGACGTGCGTGCGCGCCCTGCTCGGGGTTCTGGGGTGCAGACCTGGCGACAGGGAGGAAGGCAGCTGTGCTCCGAGCCTCCTGCAGCTAGCCTGGTCTAGCTTTGCCCGTGCTGGTCCCCAAAACTCATGCTCTCAGAGATGTGTTCTGAAATAAACAGCACGGGTGTGTATGGATTTGATTTTGTTCCCTTGACGTTGTATTTTCATGCACACTGAAGTCCTATAGGACTATAGCACTGATTTTGACCCTGATTTTGTCTGAATCAGAAAATAATGAAGCAAGGTCAATGGCTCATGGACAGAGTGTATCTTTCTATCCTTTTCATTCATGAAATAGTCCTAGACTTAATTTTGTAAATTGATGTAGTTGGAACACTGAGTAAACATCAGAGAAATTATTTGTAAATAGAATTAATAGTACCTCAAAGGAGCAAAACCAAACATACTTTTTCCTTTTGTAAAGATTTTATTTATTCATGAAAGACACAGAGAGGCAGAGACATAGGCAGAGGGAAAAGTAGGCTCACTGCGGGGGAGCCCCATATGGGACTGGATCCCGGGATCACAACCTGAGCCAAAGGCAGATGCTCAACTGCTGAGCCACCCAGGCATCCCTAAATTTTTCTTTTTTAAAAAAAGGTGAAATGTCTCTCATGTTCCCTTCACACTGTGCCTCCTTTTTTCTCATAAATATCTCTTTTCCCCTTTGATTTTATTTTTTTTATAAATTAATTTTTATTGGTGTTCAATTTACCAACATACAGAATAACACCCAGTGCTCATCCCGTCAAGTGTCCCCCTCAGTGCCCGTCACCAATTCACCCCCACCCCCCGCCCTCCTCCCCCTCCACCACCCCTAGTTCATTTCCCAGAGTTAGAAGTCTTTATGTTCTGTCTCCCTTTGATATTTCTCACACATTTCTTCTCCCTTCCCTTATATTCCCTTTCACTATTATTCATATTCCCCAAATGAATGAGAACATACACTCTTTGTCCTTCTCCGATTGACTTACTTCACTCAGCATAATATCCTCCAGTTCCATCCACATCGAAGCAAATGGTGGGTATTTGTCGTTTCTAATGGCTGAGTAATATTCCATTGTATACATAGACCACAGCTTCTTTATCCATTCATCTTTCGATGGACACCGAGGCTCCTTCCACAGTTTGGCTATTGTGGACATGGCTGCTAGAGACATCGGGGTGCAGGTGTCCCGGCGTTTCATTGCATCTGAATCTTTGGGTAAATCCCTAACAGTGCAATTGCTGGGTCGTAGGGCAGGTCTATTTTTAATTCTTTGAGGAACCTCCACACAGTTTTCCAGAGTGGCTGCACCAGTTCACATTCCCACCCAATGTGTAAGAGGGTTCCCTTTTCTCCGCATCCTCTCCAACATTTGTTGTTTCCTGCCTTGTTAATTTTCCCCATTCTCACTGGTGTGAGGTGGTATCTCATTGTGGTTTTGATCTATATTTCCCTGATGGCAAGTGATGCAGAGCATGTTCTCATGTGCATGTTGGCCATGTCTATGTCTTCCTCTGTGAGATTTCTCTTCATGTCTTTTGCCCATTTCATGATTGGATTGTTTGTTTCTTTGCTGTTGAGTTTAATAAGTTCTTTATAGATTTTGGAAACTAGCCCTTTATCTGATATGTTATTTGCAAATATCTTCTCCCATTCTGTAGGTTGTCTTTGAGTTTTGTTGACTGTATCCTTTGCTGTGTAAAAGCTTCTTATCTTGATGAAGTCCCAATAGTTCATTTTTGCTTTTGTTTCTTTTGCTTTCATGGATGTATCTTGCAAGAAGTTACTGTGGCCAAGTTCAAAAAGGGTGTTGCCTGAGTTCTCCTCTAGGATTTTGATGGAATCTTGTCTCACATTTAGATCTTTCATCCATTTTGAGTTTATCTTTGTGTATGGTGCAAGAGAGTGGTCCAGTTTCATTCTTCTGCATGTGGATGTCCAATTTTCCCAGCACCATTTATTGAAGAGACTGTCTTTCTTCCAGTGGATCGTCTTTCCTCCTTTATCGAATATTAGTTGACCATAAAGTTCAGGGTCCACTTTTGGGTTCTCTATTCTGTTCCATTGATCTATGTGTCTGTTTTTGTGCCAGTACCACACTGTCTTGATGACCACAGCTTTGTAGTATAACCTGAAATCTGGCATTGTGATGCCCCCAGATACGGTTTTCTTTTTTTAAAATTCCCCTGGCTGTTGGGGTCTTTTCTGATTCCACACAAATCTTAAAATAATTTGTTCTAAGTCTCTGAAGAAAGTCCATGGTATTTTGATAGGGATTGCATTATATGTGTAAATTGCCCTGGGTAACATTGACATTTTCACAATATTAATTCTGCCAATCCATGAGCATGGAATATTTTTCCATCTCTTTGTGTCTTCCTCAATTTCTTTCAGAAGTGTTCTATAGTTTTTAGGGTATATTTTGAGAACCATTTGAATGGTAAATGGTTCTCCAACCTTTTATTTTCAGGTTGTAGGTGTGCTTTTGTCTAAAATGAGTCTCTTGTAGACAGCAAATAGATGGGTCCTGCTTTTTTATCCAGGCTGAAACCATGCGCCTTTTGATGGGGTCATTAAGCCCGTTCACGTTCAGAGTTACTATTGACAGATATGAGTTTAGTGTCATCATGATATCTATTTAGTCCTTGTTTTTGTGGATTGTTCCACTGAACTTCTTAAAGGGGAATTTTAAGAGTCCCCCTTAAAATTTCTTGCAGAGCTGGTTTGGAGGTCACATATTCTTTCTGTTCCTGCCTGTCTTGGAAGCTCTTTATCTCTCCTTCCATTTTGAATGAGAGCCTTGCTGGATAAAGTATTCTTGGTTGCATGTTCTTCTCATTTAGGACCCTGAATATATCCTGCCAGCCCTTTCTGGCCTGCCACGTCTCTGTGGAGAGGTCTGCTGTTACCCTAATATTCCTCCCCATGAAAGTCAGGGACTTCTTGTCTCTTGCTGCTTTAAGGATCTTCTCTTTATCTTTGGAATTTGCAAGCTTCACTATTAGATGTCGAGGTGTTGAATGGTTTTTATTGATTTTAGGGGGGGATCTCTCTATTTCCTGGATCTGAATGCCTGTTTCCCTTCCCAGATTGGGAAAGTTTTCAGCTAGGATTTGTTCAAATACATATTCTGGCCCTCTGTCCCTTTCGGCGCCCTCGGGAACCCCAATTAAACGTAGGTTTTTCTTCCTTAGGCTGTCATTTATTTCCCTTAATCTGTCTTCATGTTCCCTTAATTGTCTGTCTCTTTTTTCCTCAGTTTCCCTCTTTGCCATTAACTTGTCTTCTATGTCACTCACTCGTTCTTCCACCTCGTTAACCCTCCTCGTTAGGACTTCTAGTTTGGATTGTATCTCATTCAATTGATTTTTAATTTCTGCCTGATTGGATCTAAATTCTGCAGTCATGAAGTCTCGTGAGTCCTTAATGCTTTTTTCTAGAGCCACCAGTAGCTGTATAATAGTGCTTCTGAATTGGCTTTCTGACATTGAAGTGTAATCCAGATTTTGTAACTCTGTGGGAGAGAGGACTGTTTCTGATTCTTTCTTTTGAGGTGAGGTTTTCCTTCTAGTCATTTTGCTCAGTGCAGAGTGGCCAAAAACAAGTTGTATTGGAACACGGGGGAGTATCTTCTGAATCTGTAGACTTTAAGTCCCTTGACTTCCCCTGGAACTGGTCCGTCCAGCTGGTCTTCTGGGGGAGGGGCCTGCTGTGCTGATTTTCAGGTGTTAGCACTTGGGGGAGCTGCTCTGCCCCTGCCTGCTGCAGGGCTCAGTGGGGGTTGTTTACCCCGTGAGGTCCCAGGAGGAACAGCCGCAGTTGCTATGGCAACTCTGGAAGCCTGGATTCAGCCTCTGCAGGAACTGCGGGGCTCTCCGTCTGCAGGGCCTGGAGGCTCCGGGGCGGGGCCGCTGATGTGCTCAGCTCGGGGCAGGAGCGTCCTTGCTGTCCTGGGCCCTCCCGGCCTCTGCCTGTCCCGGGGGGAGGCCAGATCCTGGGCTGTGTCCCGGCGCCCTGTGCTCCGGGGTCTGCGCTGTTGGATTCGCGCTCCCGCCCCGCAGCCCCCTCCGCGGAGCCGCCGCCCGAGCCCCTCCGAGCTGCTCCGGACCCACCGTCGTGCGCGCTGCAGCCCTTAGGGAGCTCGGCGCACTCTCCCGGGGCGCAGGTGTCTGTTAGTGTCCCAGGGAGCCCGAGGGCATCCCCGCCCTCCTGGGTCCTGCTCCAACTCCCTGCGGGCCCCTTTCCGCCCGGGAAGGTTGGTGCAGCTCCTGCTTCTCCGGGACGGGGCTCTCCTGTCCTGGGGACACTCGCCCCGGCCTCAGCCCGGCTCCTCGCGGAGCTCCTCCTCCCCCTTGGATGCCTTTTGTTTATTTCTTTTTCCCAGTCTTCCTACCTTGATAGAAGCGCGAACTCTTCTCACTGTAGCATTCCAGCTGGTCTCTCTTTAAATCTCAGGCCGAATTCGTAGATTTTCAGGATGATTTGAAGGTTATATAGGTAATTTTTTGGGGACAGGTGGTTTGGGGACCCTACTCTTCCGCCATCTTGCCCCCTCCCCTCTCCCCTTTGATTTTATTTTAGCACTTATCTTGCCCTCTCTTCCCTGCCTGGTTTATATCCTATTCTCAATTACCTGCACATGTTCTCTCACCAGCATCCTTGGTCCTTTGCACCCCTATTCCTCTGCTTCATCCAATAGCTACTAGAGTTATACTTCTCTTGTCCTTCACTTAAGTAAGAAAAATGCTGTCAGAGAAAACCACAAGACAATACAGACTGGCACCACACAGATTGAACAGTTTCCAGCTTCGCCTGAACAAGAACAGGGATCTCTGTTCCTCTTCATGTCTGTGTGAGGTCTTTATCAATTCCCCCTGCTCTCAGTAGACTGTCTTACTACTTCATGAGACAGTAGACACCACGAAGGCTCTCAGCCCCTCTTCACAAGCAACGCCCCCTGCCCCCAACACCATCCTTTTTTCCAGGTTCATTGATAGGATATCACTTTTATGGTAGAACATGCATCTATTCACCTGTGCCTTACTAACATAGCTTGTTTTCTCCTGTGTGCCTCTGGATTATAAATTATCCCATCTTAAAATCTACTTTCAACTTGTAATGGCATTCTTTTTCTCCAGCCTATAAACATACTCAGGTCTTGGCTCTCCTTAAAATAAACTAGACTAACAGTCAAACCCTATCAAAGGATGATTGTTAGTCAATGATCAATATGAGAACCCTCAACTTGATTCTAGTATCTCCTGTGTCCATATTCAGACCTCTAAAAAGAGTCTAAATTTACCATCTCTACCTTGAGTCACACTTGGTACTACATTCCAAAATTAAGCTAATAAAATATAAATGTGAAATTGTAAAAGAATAACGACATAAAATAGAATTTCATATTTTTCATGTATTTGAAGGTATAGCAAATTTACCTTTTGGAAGGAATGAAATTTTAAAGGAAAAGTATTTCAAAGATGACTCATTAAAACTTTAAGGAGAAATTGTTTATATCTTTTGTCCTGTATATGTACTGAGAATTTTCTCCAAGGAAATTGTTCAGCTAGATTTTATTAAGCAGCATGCCAGTCATTGGCATTACAGAAAGGTGGAGAAGACATGCACGCATAAGATGTACTCATGAAGGTGTCAGGTCATCCAATGAGGGTTTTCTCTAGAAAACAGGGGAAACTGCTTGAAGTGGGCCTGAACCACAGGGGAAGTTACCAACCATGTGCTTAGAGATGATGCTCTGATATGTCATGGCTTGTTCTGTTATCAGTATGTAAGTATCTTCGTGCATCTGGGCATAGGATTTGTGCAGGGCAGGGTTGAGAATTGAAGTTGAAAAAACAGACCAATTTATAGTGCTTTATATACTAGGTCAGGAGATTTAGAATTTACCATGGATGTGACAAGGAACTTTAAGAGAAAAAGGAAAGAGAAATGCAATCAGATTTGCATTTAGCAGATTTGTAGAGGTTCATAGTGTTGAAAAAATATGCAGTTTCCTTATCTGAGCTCATGATGCTGAAAGTACAATTTTTATCCCAGGGAAAGTGAGATATGTGTTCAGTTCTAATACCAAGTCAGAATTTTTTTTAAAGATTTTATTTATTCATGAGACAACAGAGCAAGAGAGGCAGAGACACAGGCAGAGGGAGAAGCAGGTTCCATGCACGGAGCCCGATGTGGACTCGATCCCGGGACTCCGGGATCACGCGCTGAGCCAAAGGCAGATGCTCAATCGCTGAGTCACCAGGCATCCCAAGTCAGAATTATTTATGCAGAACATTTGCTGGTCACATACTAACACTAATGTGTACACATATTGTTTCCTAAAAATGACTGTATTCTTAGTATGAGGCTGTAATTATATTTATCAGCACTGACACTCATCCACTGGAGCTATAAACCATGTCCTTAACTTTGTGCTATCATTAGAGATACGAAAATACATCTGGAGAAAAATTTAGAAGAAGAGCGTCAAATTTTACTGCAGCAACAAAAAATATGTCGAAATCGAGCACGTAAATATTTTGTGGAATCAAACCGGAGAAAAAAGTAAGTAATCGTATTTTCTTCAGAAGTGTAGAAATTCAAAGTCATTATAAATTAATTATAGTTTCTCTACTTTCGCATTTTATGAACCTAAGTCATGGCATTTGCTTTATCTGTAAAACACTGGTCAACATTTGTATGCCTTCATAAATTTTCTTATTGTTTTTCTGCCTAAAGCACAAAGGTGGTCGTGTACTCATTCCTAAGCGGGACCTTAGCAGTCCTTTCTTATCATAGGACTTCTTATCGTAGTGTCATAGGATGGCTGCAAAATGTGCTCCATTCTTTGTTGTCTATATCCTTTCACACTAAATCAAAAGATTACAAATTAGTACTTAGTCTCTAATGGAATGTAATTTCATTTTAATTTACTGTTCACTTCTATATAATTTTTCTATATATCTATCATTCATCCAATCAAAAATGGGGGGAAATTTAAATAATGGTAGAAATATGATGCAAAGAATATTATAAATGACTTCCATTTAAAAAAAACAGATATCTAAACTGGAAGCCTAATAAAGTAAAAATATAAACTATCCAGTTACTGCATGTCATTTTTCAAGGTTTCTTTGAATGATTAGATTTTGTTTTTTAGACGGATTGTTAATGTGTTGGCTACCTCCTCTGTATTTTGTCAATAGCAGCAAATCCCTAGAGTGTATGAACTACATCATTGGATATGTGTTGCAAATCCCATTTGGAAAATACAAAATTGTTTACCTGTAACTTTTTTCTGACATCATATTTCTGCTTAGATTAACTCTTTCATTGTCTGGTGTAATGAAGTTACTTAATGAAACTTGTTTCTTGTTTTGTATTGGTGTCTTACTGTTTTTCTCCTACCTGGGGGCCTATAAAAGCACACAGCAGGTGTTCAATAAAGATGCATAATCATATGTTGAAACAGTCATGGGTTCTGGAGTCAGAGACCTAGGTTTAAATCCCCATTCCATGAGTTAGAACAACTTATTTAATCTCTCTGCTTCTCAGTTTCTCAGTTATGACTGGCATTAATAAAATCTATTTCAAGGGATAGCTATGTAGAGCAAAAATATATTAAGAATGGTTGAAAAAAAAAAGAATGGTTGAAAATATGTGAAAAATATTTATCACACTGTCTGGCCAATAGTGCTTCTTCCTTATTTAATTTATTTTGTTGTTTAATAATTAAAATATGTCAATTGTGTGTTTTCTAATAATTGAGTTCCTTGGTAAAGTAGCACAAAGTGTCTTCCTTTCTTCTCTCATCAAACACTTTTCTTATCAAGAAAAACAGAATTCTGATGTAGAAAGAAGAGAAATTCAGGCTTAAGATTCCAAGAATCAGAACATTTTCCATTATAATTTATGTTTTATTTTTCTGTTACCCTAGGGTGCTGTGTAAAAACATATAAAAATTTTTAAAATTTTAATCATTTTAATTTTTAGAAAGGAGTCCAAATTATTGTGTACTTAGGAATTTCAAAATATGTTTATCAAGGCCTTTTTGGCCTTGCCGTTATCTATCCATTTATGTTTTACATCATCTAAGTTTATGCTGTCTGCTCACATTATGGTCATGTGGTTTTTCTTTAAAAACTACTTTTTTTTTTTTTTACAAGCAAAGACATTCTCCTTCTACTCTTAGTGAGTACATTTTGACATTAAAATGTGCTGTGTTCCCTGTAGTTTTCAGAGGAGAATATTCACAGCATCAAGTTCTCTATATTTATTGCCATTAATTGTTTAAAGTCACACACATTTTAATTTTCTTATTATTTACTACTGCTTGCCTTTTGTATTTGCTAGTATTTTTCTCATGTTTTTATTACATTCTCTCATTCAGTGTCTATATAATGGAGTCCCCATTGTTTTACTCCAAGATGTCTACCTTCCTCCCTACCTTCAGTAGATCCTGCCAGAGTATGTATGATTATCTTTAGGCCTAATGCATAATTGCCATTCTAGGACTCCCCTTTTTTTGCTCTTGCCTCTATTGCATCCCTTTTGTTTTGTTTTATAATATTAGTTCTCTGGAGCACAACCTCACATAGTTTCTAATATGCTGCTGTGTAGACCACATGATCTTAAGATACACACACATAAAGGAATTACTATTTCCTACATTTTTTAAATTTTCAATTGTGGCACTATCTTTGATCAATAACTGAACAGACATTTATTTACTGAACAAGCATAACTGGTTGAGTACGAACGATTAAACATTGTATCAGGAGAAAAAAAATTTTGTTTATTATTAACTTTAGAAATGGCAGTCTGATTTAATGTGACTTCATAAGGAAAAGAAATTGAAGAAGTGTATGAAAGGAACCTCAGATTTTTTTTTAGTTTGTCTTAATTTTGTTTCTTCAATTTGTATTTTTAGATTTCAGATGAGTGCAACCATGTGGCATTTGTTTTTGTCCTTCTGATTCATTTCCTTAGCATAATACTCTCAAGTTTCATCCATGCTCTTACCAATGGCAAGATTTCATTATATTTTATGGCTGAGTAGTATTCCAATGTATGAATATATCTTCTTTATTCATTCCTTTATCAATAGGCACTCAATATCTTTTTTTATAATTTATTTTTTTTTTTATTTTTTTTTAATTTTTAATTTTTATTTATTTATGATAGGCACACAGTGAGAGAGAGAGAGGCAGAGACACAGGCAGAGGGAGAAGCAGGCTCCATGCACTGGGAGCCCGATGTGGGATTCGATCCCGGGTCTCCAGGATCGCGCCCTGGGCCAAAGGCAGGCGCCAAACCGCTGCGCCACCCAGGGATCCCTATAATTTATTTTTTATTGGTGTTCGATTTACCAACATACAGAATAACACCCAATGCTCATCCCGTCAAATGCCCCCCTCAGAGGCACTCAATATCTTGACTAATTGTAAATAATGCTGCAATGAACATAAGAGTGTATATATCTTTTAAATTACTCTTTTTGGGACGCCTGGGTGGCTCAGCGGTTGAACGTCTGCCTTTGGCTCAGGACGTGATCCTGGAGTCCCAGGATTGAGTCCCACGTTGGGCTCCCTGCATGGAGCCTGCTTCTCCCTCTGCCTCTGTCTCTGCCTCTGTCTCTCTCTGCCTCTCCTGAATGAATGAATGAATGAATGAATGAATGAATGAATGAATGAATAAATAAATAAATAAGTAAATAAATAACTCTTTTTATGTTATTTAGATAAATACCCAGAAATGGAATAGCTGGATCCTATGGTAGTTCTATTCTTCATTTATTAAACAATCTCCATATGGATTTCCATAGTGTTTGTACCAATTTACAGTCTCATAAGTGGGTAAGGGTTCCTGTTTCTCCATATCCTCTCCAATGCTTGTGACTTCTTGTCTTTTTGATAATAGCCATTCTGTGAGGTGATTTCTTATAGGGGTTTTGATTTGAATTTCTCTAATAATTAATGGCATTGATTAACATACGCCTGTTGGCCATCTGTATGTCTTCTTTGGGAAAATGTCTCTTCAATGGGCAGACCCTCTACCCATTTATTTTTTAAAGATTTTATTTATTTATTCATGAGAGACACACAGAGAGAGGTAGAGACATAGACAGAAAGAGAAGCAGGCTCCCTGTGGGGAGACCGATGCAGGACTCGATCCAAGGACCCCAGGATCACCACCTGAGCCAAAGGCAGACACTCAACCACTGAGCCACCCAGGCGTCCCCGCCTCTGCCCATTTTTAACAAGGTTGTTTATTGCTCTTGAGTTGCATGAATTCTTTATCTATTTTAGATGTTAACCCCTTAGTGGGTATATGGTTTGAGATTCAGATATATGGTGTACAATTCAGCAGGTTGCCTTTTCATTTTGTTGATAGTTTCCTTTGCTGTGCAGAACTATTTTGGTTTGATAAGAGTCCCGTTTGTTTACTTTTGCTTTTTTTTTTTTTTTTTTTTTGTCCCTTTGGTTTTGGTGTCAAATCATAAAAACAATAGCTGTGGTAACATCAAGGAGCTTCCCGCCTATGTTTTCTTCTAGGAGTTTTATGGCTTCAGGTCTTACCTTCAAGTCTTTAATCCATATTAAGTTAGTTTCTGTGTGTAGTAGAAGACTGATCTAGTTTCATTCTTTTGCATGAGTTCAGTTTCCTCAGCACCATTAATTGAAGAGACTGTCCTTTCTTCAATGTTCTTGGCTTTTTTTGTCGTAGATTAATTGTAAACAATGTGTGTTTATTTCTGGGTTTTCAATCCAGTTCCATTAACCTGTATGTCTGTTTTTATACCAGTAACATACTGTTTTGATTACTATAGGTTTGTAGTATTTTTTGATATCAGGGAGTGTGATAGTTCAGCTCTGTTCTTTTTCAAGACTATTTTTGACTACTTGAGATCTTTTGTGGTTCCATACAAATTTTAGAATTATTCTGTTTCTATAAAATATGCCATTGGTATTTTGATATGGATTACATTGAATCTGTATTATTATGTATTATGTAGTATTACATGGTATTCTTGTAATATCAATTCTTCTAATCTGTGAACAAAGAATATCTTTGCATTTATTTGCATCTTCTTTGGTTTCTTTCACCAGTGTCTTACAGTTTTCAGTGGGCTTTCATCCCCTTGGGTTACACTTCTTACCAGGTATCTTATTCTTTTTCATGCAATTGTAAATGAGATTGTTTTCTTATCTTTCTGATGCATCATTATTAGTGTATAGAAATGCAATGGATTTCTGTGTATTGATTTTGTATCCTGCAACTTTATTGAATTTATTTATTCTAACAGTTTTTTGATGGATTCTTTAGGATCCGTCATTTAGGATCCATCCATTTCTATGTATAATATCACATCACCTGCTCATGGTGACAGTTTTGTTTATCTTTCTGATTTGAATGCCTCTTTTTTTCTTTGCCTAATTGTCATGACTGGGACTTCTAGTACTCTGTTGCATAATAGTACCAAGAGTGAGCATCTGTAGCTTGTTCCTGTTCTTAGAGGATCACCATTGACTTTGGCTGCGGGATTGTCATATATGTCTTTCATT